TAACAACTGCTGATTTTGCTGTTCGTTTTGTCATTTTTTTAAGATTGGAAATCTTGCAAAATTGTTAAGTCGTACGAAAATTAGATCATCAGAAAGTTATCTCCCTTGCCTTGAACAGCATTTCAACCAATGAAATAATTGAAAATTTTCTCATCATGCAATTTCTACCAATCACACAAGAGAGGAAGTGCATAGTCCGAAGACTGTAAAAAACTTCAACTATACAATACCGTCTTCCAAGGAAGACGGTAACAAGTAGACTACACTAAGATAGATTTCGATGCACGGTGTTGACACGGTGACTAAAAAAAGAATTTTCTGTGAAATTTCTTTAAAATGCTACTCCTCCTACAGTTTTTATCTGATTTCAATATAACTTGGCACACAAGTAGACTACAACAAGATACATAAAATAATGCATCGGTTTTTAATTTTGATGAACGGTGTTGCCATGGTTACTAAAAATTTTTTATGTGGAATTCCTTTAAAACACTACTTGTCCTACAATTTTTGTCTGATTTCTTTACAAAAATCATCTGACTTTACAAAAATCAACAGCATAAAAACTTATGACTTTTCGACTTTATAAACAACAATTCCCCACGACGAATTGAAATCCATGCTTTTTGATATCATTGACAGCTGCTTCTTCAATAAAAATGGAACTCGTAAATTTACTTACCTCGTCATTGGTCATTTGCAAAATTATTTTGTTAAAACAGATTCTGATTGCACACATAAGTACTCTGAAGTTGAAATCAAAAAGATGCTTGAGTTTCTGATTGACAATATCTATGTGGTTTTTGGAGACCAGATATTCCAACAATCTACTGGAATTCCCATGGGTACAAATTGCGCTCCGTTATTAGCAGACATATTTTTATATTCATATGAAGCAGAATTTATGCAAAATCTTCTGCGTGAAAAGAAGAAAACACTTGCTGTGGTCTTCAACTCGACATTTAGATATATCGACGACGTATTGTCAATTAATAATGATAATTTCCATACGTCGATACGATATATCCTGGTGAGCTTGAGATAAAAGATACCACAGAGTCCGACTCTTCTGCTTCATACTTGGATATTTTACTTGAAAAAGACAATATTGGCAATCTAACAACCAAGCTATATGATCAACGTGATGACTTTAACTTTTTAATCGTCAACTTCCCTTACTTATGCAGCAATATACCTTCATCACCTGCATACGGAGTATAGATATCTCAGTTGATTCGATACGCAAGAGCGTGCTCTACGTATTAACAATTTTTTTAACGAAGTAAATTATTGACAAGCAAGTTGATGAAACAAGAATATCAACAGTCTCGTTTAAAGTCATCGTTTCGTAAATTCTATGGTCGATACAATGGCCTTGTCAGCAAATACAATTTATCATTGAATCAAATGCTGACTGACGTTTTTCATACCAATTGTTAGTCCATTATTTATACACTGAATTTCCTGATTATGACAAGGAGCACACGGCGGGTGTGACCGGTCGGCAGGGGATGCTCACTCCTCCATGGCACCTGATCCCACCTCTGATGTTTCGGAGGTCCGTGTTTGCTCAGCTCTTATTTTGTATATTGTTTAATGGACGCTGAGATTGAATACTGTTCGTTATATCCATATCCTTCCTTTCGCCTACACTAGTAGTAATTTTTTAAATACATTGTTTAACAAAATTTTGTCATACAACGTTAGTTTATACATGCCTTAAAGCAAATCACTCAAAAATAATATTCAAATATCAATAGTTCACTCATATGATGGATACAAAAATCGTTCAGTTTATATGGAGAATATAGTAAATACTGAGGAACCCCTTAAACTGTAGCAAAAAGCCATCCTTAACCAGAAAAAACAACATCTGAATAACTTTTTTTGGATATGACTGTACATCATTACATTTAGATAATTTTGGTTAAAGGTGATCTTCATATTGAAAATGTTGAAAATATGTATTTAATTTTTCTTCTAAAATTAATAAAGATTCATTAATCTGTCTTTAATTTATCCAAAAAACTCCCACGACTTCATGGAGTTGTGGTACATGTATGATTGCTGGTTTGAAGACATGATGATCGTGAGTTCGAGTCTCACAGTGCGTATTTCTTGTTTACGCTTTTTATTTTTTTCTCTCTACGTGCATTTTACCCATGTTTATTTTCTTTTATTATTTTATAATACATGTATAAATAATGTAAGAGATACATATAATACAATATATTACCTTGAAAGTATCTCGGTAAAAATCAGTCTTAAACTATTTTTTGTTTTAAACACATTTTATTGTAAAATATATACAATGGGATCAGTTATAAGTTCTTGCAACTGAATAAAACCTTTCCCGGTAATATATACAATAATCATCATTAGTGATTACCAAAATAAAAATTGAAGGTGTAAAGTTATACATATACATGATGAATACAACATATTTCAAGGTGACACTTACTAAAGATTCATAGTTCTGACAATGTGTAAGTCTATAATGTTACATGTAAATGATTACAATGACAACAGTACATGTACTTTGGAAAGAAAATATATGACACTAATGATAATAAATAAAAAAAAACATGATCACAAGCGAAATTCTCACATCATAAACTATCTTAAACTATTAAAAAATGACCCAAGGTTTTGACAGCTGCTTGCTGGTTTTATTTTTTAAAAAATTCTAACGATCTTGTTTAGAATAAGAGTATTGAACATGTAAAATTATTGTCATGTAACAAACTTGGAACTATAAAAATATAACAGTGGTCCACAAATGATTACATACCTGTAGTTTGATTTTTGAATTGAAAAGGTACATGTGTTTATAAATAGAAACAGGTGATTTCCGTAAGGGATAAATAACGAGATGGTGTTGAATATTTTAGAGAAAACATTCTCTCTGAGGGTCGAAGGTCCGAGGAGGGGATGTTTTCTCTAAACTTTTCAACAATATCGAGTTCTTTATCTTACTTTAAAAAATTCCCTACTTTGCGCCCCAAAGAAACATTCACCCATTCAAATATCCAACTTGCTGTAATACAATAGGATGAAGCGCATTCAAATGACTAACTGTGACACAAAACAACAGCCTAATCGAACACCCCTTTTATTCATGGACTCGTGAGCATGAAACTACATTTTGCTGATTTCATTTTAACCCTTTTCATCGTACTGAACAGTCATGAAATCAGACAAAGAATATTTTTAAATCCAATGTAAATTAGAGAGGTTCAGATAGTGTTATGAATACTTTTGACCTGAAAGCTGAAGAAAACTACAGGATTTTTATAAAAGGTTGGGATTTTGTCATTACATATCATAAGATGACGGTTCTTTGAGGAAAAGCGTTGAATTTTCATGGAGTTCCATTCAGACAATACTTGTAATAGTGCTTAAAGAGTTAAAAAGATTGGCGGTGCTATGCTGAACCTGCTGTAAAAAATTCCACATCAAGATCTGCAATCAAAAAATGGTGTTTGAAAATAGAATGGATGTCAATTACCGGTATTTAAGTTCTTTTGGGAAGAACGCCGGAAAAGAATGAAATAGAGATGAAAATCGGATAATCTGAAGGGATTTACTGATAATGGACCCTGAAATAATATTTAGCAATAAGAGGTGATGCAGTTTAAGATTCAAAGTAAAAATGAATTCATGTGTTAAAAAGTGATGCTTTCAAGATTTAAGACCGAAAACATTCCTAAAAGTGTGCAAAATTCGGAGGAATTGTTATTTCTGTCAGTTATTACGGTAATTCCGTGTGCACTGAAAATTAATTCTAATAGTATAGCAAATTTGGAGCAATTTCTTTTCATATGCATTGGAAAAACATTTTAAAATTGTTTTATATTGTATCTCTTTTTTCATTGTTTTGTGTTTTTTGCACCTCATATGGGTATTTAAATATCTAACCGATAGGCATTTGGATAGGCAGTCGGATATTTTGAATATCCAACTGCCTGTCGGTTGGATACTTTGAACATCCAACTGATGGACAGTTGGATCTCTAAATATCCAACTAGTGCTGGTTGATTCGATAAAATATACGTAGACTAATAACATTTGGGGACGTCATAGAAGTTTTTAATTTTAAATACTTAAGTAGGCCGACTCCTCGGTAAGGTAGCTATGGCTCTTTATTTCTCAATAAGTATATTTGAAACATTAACAGTGACATGTGTTCAGCTCTATCAAATCTAAAATACGAAGTTTGGAAGTCTGCTTATTTTAGATTGACTATTAAACTCATTTTATCACATTAAAAGGAATTTAATTGCTTGTTTGCTTCTGTATTTTCATATATTTTATTTAATTCCTTTGTTTGTATCTCTTTCTTCCAGCTATCTGACTGTCTGTCTCTTAAACATCCGTGGTCTTAAAGACGTTCCCTTGACTAGATAGAAAACACAGTAAAACTTCAATAATTACCATTTATATAGCACAAGGGCATATATTATTTTGACAAGTGATATCTCATTGTTCAGGAAAGGTGGATGTGTGTTTCTCTTAGTTATTACAAGAGATTTTTAAATTTTATATCATTAAGGGTTGCAACTGCAACGCTTAATGATGCACTATTGTGTATCATTAAGCGTCGAATATGTCGATATTTGCTTGTTTTATTAAGCGTCAGTATTCCACTGCAATTGTGACGCTTAATGATATAATTCTGTCATTAAACGGCGATTTAGCATTAGCGGTTGATAATGTCAGCTATTAATGCAATAATTTATGGCATTAAGCGTTGCAATTGCAAGGCTTAATGCTATTTGTATCATTAAGCGGTGTTTTATCATTAGGCGTTGCTACAATGCCTACATCTGAAATACTGAATTTTTTTTGGAAGGTAGGTTTTGATAAAAAAAAAATTGCAATCTTCTGACAAAAAATCACCAATATTTTTGAAACCACTTTTATACCAATTTTCTATAAAAATACTTTTATTTTTTACCTTTTTATTTGAATTATACCATACAGGAATATTACAAGCCTTGTATTTCATTTCTACATCCTGATCTACAATCTTCAAAACATGTTACCATGAAATAAAAACACCAAACCAGAAAATATTATTTTGAGGAATTAGACTATTTAAAATATAAGCATCACCAAGATCCATAAATTTGTTTACCACATCTCAACCATTAATTCCTAAAAATATGTCTTAATCATCTAGAAGTTTTGCATCATGGCCCTCAAATGATTCACTGCTCCTATCTTTATTGCTTCTCCAGACGTGCTTAATAATCTCTTCAACAGAACATGTGTTGGAACATTTTTCTAAAACATTTACAACTTTTGTACATACAGACTGAAAAATATCCTTTGTGGAAGTGATACGGATTTCAGAATAAGAAAACAAAATATACAATTTTTCACCTTGTGTTTCTCTTAACGGCTTAAAAAAACCTGCCATTCTGACCTGGATAAATCTGTTTCAAGCAGTTTTACTTTAATTACTATCTCTGGTATAAATTCTTCAAAAACTTTCAAGGCCTCTTCCACCATTTTCATGTTTGATGATGTCATCTCCACTTTGTCTTCTGTAACATTCCATACAGCTTTGTTGTTTTTTGCTTTCATTTCTGCGAGAAAAAGATCTCTCACTTCTTTAGTTTTAAACACTTCATGTCTCCCTTTGGATATGCTTAAAGATTTTGATTTCGTATTCATCAAATATTCATGCATTTTAATCATGGCCTCATTTACTTCACTCGATATCCCAGAGAAGTTTACTTCTTTTTTATCAATCTCAATATTCATATCAACATCTGGAAATTTTTCCTTGAACTTCTTATGATACTGTGTGTTCCAAAGAAGCTGACATTTGTGAAAATCTAATGGAACATTTTTCGCAATTTTCTCTTTCTGAGTTTTAATTTTTAATTCCTCTGTTTTCACAATATCTAGGATTTTTCTTGTCAGGGCTTCTGCATTTTCCTCTAATCCAACAACAACAACTACATGTTGTTTGGCTTCTAATGAAACAGCTACTTTTTCTGGTTGATCAACATTTAGCGTTTTTAACTTGTCTAGGAAATTATCCCATGCTTCTGGTAAAATCGAGTGTTTTTGAACTGAATACTTGCCCAACAAGCTTTCCATACTTCTTTGGGTTTCTTTTTTCCAATTCTTTAAAATACCTCTGCCATTTTTCACCTCTTTAGTTAATGTACATAGCAGCTTGATATCTGTGTCTGAATTTGATTTCGGCCATTCAACTTGAATAAACTTCTGTTGCAGTGTCTTTTCAATTTCCTTAGCTACCGCCTCACAACACTTCAAAAATCTTAAAAGGTGTTTACTACAAGGATGAATTACTGTAGGCAAGTCTTCCCAATTAATTGGCTGTTCCGGCAGCCCTAAACATGGATGAAATAGTTGCACACTTATTTCTTTTCCATTTATTGTAAACTTTTTTCTTGAAGCCACATTCTCTGCATCTGTGTCAAACCAGAAATGTACATTAAATACTAATAGAACATTCATATCTAGTATCTGTTTCTTACAGAGTTTAATGATTTTTGTATTTAGCAGTATAATATACCGTTATATTAAGCAGGCACCTAAATTGTGACGATAACGAACATTAATCATGCTCAAAAGTCAATTTTAACAGAAAATAGAATCAGTTGTCATGAAGGATTAAGCATCTTCTGTCAACCAGACACACCCGCCGTGTGCACCTTGTCATAAGTGAGTAAAAAGAATAAGTAAGTAAATCTTTAAACAAATCATTAAGAAAAATGGCCTAATAATTTGTATGAAAAACTTCAGTCAACATTCGACTTATATTATAATTAATGACACATAGTATTCAAAATTAAGGTTATTGTATCTATCATAATATGTGCGAAATTTTAACTTTAAAAAATGGTTGATGTATTTTCATCATCAACTAATTTCTAAATAAATTGTCTTGTGTTAGAATGTTCGTATGTAAACCATGCCTTTACGTATCGAATCAACTGGGAAAATGACCTTCTTATACGGGTGATAATGGTGTATTGTTGCAAAGATAAGGGGGTTTGACGATAAAATATTGAAGTCATCACCTTTATCCTAAATATTGAAGTCATCACCTTTATCCTAAATATTAGTTTTTAGTCTTGCCATCAGTCGTACTTTTTTGGAATTATATATAGATATAAAAAGTTGTAGCAGACTGTGGTATCTTTTTTCTGAGTTAAACGGGATATATCGAATCAATGCATATATTGTTAATAAATAAAATGTCATTAATGAAAATGAAATGTCTCAGTAATGAAGAATAGAATTAATAACATGTACATGTAGAAATTTTGTTTTGATTTTTGAAAATGGGTAGATGAGAAATATGCTTTGAACATTCTTGTAAGTATATTTAAAATTTTATTTTCGTTGTGGTTTTCAAAGACAGCAAATATTAACCAGAAGATATTCATTAAAATAAAATAAGGAAAAAAAGACAAATTCCCTGCTACCCAATATTGCCATCTATCAATATTTATCTTAATGCAACTGTTTTTAAATCATATCAATATAGTAATTACTAATTATTTGTAACTAGTTGAAATCATTTCAGTACAAAATAGCACCTGTTGGATTTTCAAACAGAACCACACAGTATCCGTCTTCTGGATGGTAATCCACCTCCTCCACCTCGCCACCTCCACTTCTTCTCTTGTTACAGAAGAAATTCTCCATCGTGTCATACGTGATACTTTCATCAATCTCATGGACATAGACAGATCTACATTTCTCCACCATTTGTATAAACAATGTGTTGCCCTCAAGTTTTTTGGCATTGCACCGTTTTATTATTTTGGAAAAATCTGGTTTAAAACAAATACATATGTTGTGTTTAAAGTAACCAAAATAATACACACGTGACATGGATTATTTAGAGAACAAATGTTAAACAAACTATAGGTGATCCGTACGTCACTATCAACAATATTACCACAGCAAAATATATATATATTTTTTGAAATTCTTTTACTTTTACGCCTGTAAAAATGAACAATAGAGAAATCCCTGTAACTTTTGAACAGCCCTCGAAGAATGTCAAATATGATATTCTACTAACCTGGTTTTTTGTCAAACACAACTATCACAGTGTCATGACCCGATCCTCTGACCACCTTCATTACATCCAACCCGGCAGCAAGCTCCAAAAAATTAATCAGTGCGTCGTCAGATGTAACTGGATTTAATTTGCCCACCAGAACTTTGTTCATCTCCCACATTTCAGGGTCGCCTGTATCATATTTTTTTTACCTTTAAGTTCACTCCACCTATTTTGTGCTTCATCTGTAAGTATGACTTGGCATCTGATGGAATAAATGAAATTCAATTATACTGAGCTTGCTTTTTAGAAAAAGGCATCCTGTGTTCCCAGCAATTTGCAGAAAATTTAACCAACTCAATATCTAGGCATTTTTTTTCAAAATATGACACTGACAAATTCCATTGAAAATAAGATATTTATTTAAGGGATTTATGTCCCCTGTTTCAGGGTAAAATAAGTGGATAGAAGACATAAGAAATGTAAGCTGAGAGAAAAGAAAACAATCGCTTTTTGCCTGTGATCTCAACACCTTAAGTTTCACGACAAAGAGCAAAATATTTCATCTGTAAACCATTTTATGCAACAAATTAATTTCTTACCATAGCTTTTGACCTATAAATCAATATAGTCTTTTTTACAGTCAAAGTGACTATGAGGAAGTTTTATCTTATGTGTATCAACTCTACCCTGTTTAAAATTAATTGCAAGCATGTATCAGGAACACATTAAATTGATATTTAATTTTACTCAATCCTACATGTAATTAGTACCTTTTGTGAATACAGTTAGGATCCCCCATGATTTAAAGTTGGATATGATTTTTATCCAATGAGGTCTGTGTTTTTCTATCCCTGAGAGTTGGTGAGGGATAAAACACACAACGAGTTGGGATAAAAGTGATATCCAACTACAAATCGAAAGAGATTTTTATATCATGAATAATACCTCATCATCAATGTTTTACATGTTTTACATCAACAGCAGGGTATACTCTTTACATTCGTTACACAGAATTGCTTTTTTTTGTCAAGGTTTCGCTTGGAATGGCGACCCGTGTTCGTGATGGTTCAGTGAAAAGTGTCCAAGCCAATCCCTAAATAAACAGGGGCGTAGCAACAGAGGGGGCCATGGGGGGGGGGGGCTGCCCCTTTTTTTCCCAAACTTACCTATACTATAGCAAATGTTAATTGAAAACCTGGTTGCCCCCCCCCCCCTTTTTTGTTATTAAACATTTGAATTGGTACTGAAAGGTTGACACTGAAAAAAAGTTAGCCCCCCCCCCCCCCACGAAATAGGATTTTCGACTTTGGGCAACTTTCAACCCCCCCCCTTTTTAGCTTTTGACCTAAAAATCAATATAGTCTTTTTTACAGTCATAGTGACTATGAGGAAGATTTGTCTTATGTGTATCAACTCTACCCTGTTTAAAATTAATTGCAAGCATGTATCAGGAACACATTAAATTGATATTTAATTTTACTCAATCCTACATGTAATTAGTACCTTTTGTGAATACAGTTAGGATCCCCCATGATTTGAAGTTGGATATGATTTTTATCCAATGAGGTCTGTGTTTTTCTACCCCTGAGAGTTGGTGAGGGGATAAAACACACAACGAGTTGGGATAAAAGTGATATCCAACTACAAATCGAAAGAGATTTTTATATCATGAATAATACCTCATCATCAATGTTTTACATGTTTTACATCAACAGCAGGGTATACTCTTTACATTCGTTACACAGAATTGCTTTTTTGTCAAGGTTTCGCTTGGAATTTCGACCCGTGTTCGTGATGGTTCAGTGAAAAGTGCCCAAGCCAATCCCTAAATAAACAGGGGCGTAGCAACAGAGGGGGCCGGGGGGCTGCCCCCTTTTTTACCCAAACTTACCTATACTATAGCAAATGTTAATTGAAAACCTGGTTCCCCCCCCCCAAGTTTCAGTAATGTACCAAAAATGAAGTATTACAATTAGTACTGAAAGGTTGACACTGAAAAAAAGTTAGCCCCCCTCCCCCACGAAATAGGATTTTCGACTTAGGGCAACTTTCAACTCCCCCCCCTTTTTTTTTGCTTGTCAACTTTTTCAGGTAAGTAAAGTTAGCCCCTCCCCCCCCCCCCCCCAAAAAAAAATAGGATTTTCGACTTTTGGCAACTTTCAACTTCCCCCCTCCTTTTTTTTTGCTTGTCAATTTTTTCAGGTAAGTAAAAAAATCATTCTCCGGCTGCCCCCCCCCCCACTTTCAAAAACGATTCTACGCCACTGATAAATCAAGTATCCGGTCAAAAATGTAGGACACATTCCTTTTAAAATTTGTGTTCAGCTTTAACTGTCAGATATAAAAAAAATCCAATGAATCAAATCCTTGGGACAAAGGTATAATAATGGGATTGATACATTCATGTATATCTCCCTCTTACCAAGGTAATAATGTCTTTGTAAGAATATATACCCTAGACAAAATAAGTTAAGGATCATAATATATAAATAATTTAATTTACAACAAATAACAATATATCACATAATAACAATGTAATAAAAATATTTAGCAAGTTAACAAACATTTCTTATCGAGTTTATCAACAATCAATGTAGCATTAACGTGCATTGTGATTAATTGTCACACAACCCCTAAAACAAAATAAACAACAGTCTTAATAAAGGATGGAAAATCAAACGTTATCGTTTGCGCAGTGTTCTGATGTGTTCAATATGGTGTATGACCAACAAGTGCTGCGGATAACCGCGCAACCACGCCTGCGGATAAGTCTCCGGAAGAAGATCTGCCGCAGTCTAGCTAATTCCTCGACAGGTGTTGCAGAAAGCTCCTCACGTTCCTAGGAAGTCCTGTGCGCGCTGAAATGGCTTGTAGTAGCTTGTCACAAACATGTTCTATGGGATTCACACCAGGGAAAAGACTCGGCCAGTCTATTCGCTCAATGGTTTCATTTTCAAGGTAGTCTTGTTACGACGCGAGCCCTGTGAGGTCTAGCATTGTCGTCCATCAAAATAAAATCATCATCCATAGCACCTGCATACAGCTTGACACCAGGGTGCAGTATCTCATCTCGGGCAGTTATATTAGTTTGAGTTGTTGTAATTTGTGCTTTATAAATAAAATTAATTTTATCACAACATGTATTGGAAACGATCCTCTAAAAATAAATGTCCAAATATCTATATCTCACTTCCATTTTCAATGACCGTGTAGTGTAGGGCAGCGTTGTGAGAATCTCCATCGGCATCGAAAAAAGTTTTTTAACTTGCCTAGATAGCCGAGCTGTTCCTGTACTGCTAGGAGACAGATTCCGTAGGTCGAGAGTTCAACCCTAGGCTGGGGCGGAAATGGGTATCCATGTAAAAGTGAATTTCTCTGTGCATTTATATTAATATTCCTTCACTTAGGGCAGTTATATTAGTTTAAGAGTTGTTGTAATTTGTGCTTTATAAATAAAATTAATTTCATCACAACATGTATTGGTAACGATCCTGTAAAAACTAATGTCTAAATAACTGTATCTCACTTCCATTCTCAATGTCCGTGTAGTGTAGGGCAGCGTTGTAAGAATTCCATCGGCATCGATAGCAAGTTATTTAACTTACCTAGATAGCCGAGCGGTCTATCACGCTGTTCCTGTACTGCTGGGAGACAGATTCCGTAGGTCAAGATTTCAACTCCAGGCTGGGGCGGGGTGAGTATCCATGTTAGAGGGAATTTCTCTGTGCTTTGTATGTTAATATTCCTTCACTTAGGGCAGTTATATTAGTTTAAGAGTTGTTGTAATTTGTGCTTTATAAATAAAATTAATTTCATCACAACATGTATTGGTAACGATCCTCTAAAAACTTATGTCCAAATAATTGTATCTCACTTCAATTCTCAATGACCGTGTAGTGTAGGACAGCGTTGTGAGAATTCCATCGGCATCGATAGCAAGTTTTTAACTTGCCTAGATAGCCGAGCGGTCTAACGCGCTGTTCCTGTACTGCTAGGAGACCGATTCCGTAGGTCGAGAGTTTAACCCCAGGCTGGGGCGGAAGTGAGTATCCTTGTAAAAGTGAATTTCTCTGTGCTTTCTGTAAGGGATAAATAGCGATATGGTATTGAATAGTTTAGAGAAAACATTTTCTCCGAGGGGCGAAGGCCCGAGGAGGGGGTGTTTTCTCTTAACTATTCAACACTATCGAGTTATTTATTTTACTTAAAAAATTCCCTACTTTGGGCACCAAAGAAACAATCACCAATTCAAATATCCAACTTGCTCTAATACAATAGGATGTAGCCCATTCAAATATCCAACCGTGACACAAAACAATGGCCTAATCGAACACACCTTTAATTCATGGACTAGTGAGCTTGAAACTACATGATGCTGATTGCATTTTAACCCTTTTCATTGAAATCAGACAAATAATATTTTTAAATCCAATGTAAATTAGAAAGGTTCAGATAGTGTTATGGATACTTTTGACCTGAAAGCTGAAGAAAACTACAGGATTTTTATAAAAGGTTGAGATTTTGTCATTACATATCATAAGATGATGGTTTGTTGAGGATAAGCGTAAAAATTAATTTTAATAGTGTGGCAAATTTGGAAAGATTTTTTTCATATGCATTTGAAAAAAAATTAAAAATTGTTTTTATCTCTTTTATTCATTGTTTTATGTTTTTTGCACCTCAGTTGGATATTTTGAATATCCAACTGCCTGTCGGTTGGATATTTTGAATATCCAACTGCCTGTCGGTTGGATAATTTAAATATCCAACTGATGGCTAGTTAGATCTTTAAATATTCCAACTAGTGCTGGTTAAGTAGGTAAAATATACGTAGACTAATAACAATGGGTGACGTCATAGAAGTTTTTTAAGATATTTATATTCCTTCACTTACGGCAGTTATATTAGTTTTAGAGTTGTTGTAATTTGTGCTTTATAAATAAAATTAATTTCATCACAACATGTATTGGTAACGATCCTGTACAAACTAATGTCCAAATAACTGTATCTCATTTCCATTCTCAATGACCGTGTAATGTAGGGTAGCGTTGTGAGAATTCCATTGGCATCGAAAGCAAGTTTTTTTAACTTGCATAGATAGCCGAGTGGTCTAACGCGCTGTTACTGTACTGCTAGGAGACAGATTTCGTAGGTCGAGAGTTCAACCCTAGGCTGGTCCGAGGTGAGTATCCTTGTAAAAGTGAATTTCTCTGTGCTTTTTATATTAATATTCCTTCAATAGGGGCAGTTATATTAGTTTAAGA